CTTCCAGGACAGCCTGTTCCCTCCATTGGTGTGTATCCAGGTGGCATCCGAAGTTGGATGAAGGAGGGGATACTTTTGTACATGGGGTAGCCTTCGGTCCTAGAGGTTACTGACTTGGGATGGAAGGAGGAGTCTATTTATTTAATGTGGTTGATGTGTTTCCTGTTGCAGGCGGCCGGAGCCTATATCTCGATGGCTGTCCTGGAAGATTCCTGGAAACAGAGTAATCAGGTAATCAACTCATGTTTTTAAATCCATACTCCAGGTCAGTGATTCCGAGCATTTGAAGTCAGAAGATCAGCATGTCAACCAGGAATATGGCATCTGTTTGCATATCAGAAATGGCATGCCCTGTGTTTCTCTAATGACAAGGTAAATTGTAATGTCTGCCTGGCCAAACAAAGTCACCACCTAGATTTAGCTAAGCAAATAGGTAAGAGCTATAGGCATTGCTTCAGTTGGTCAGGTCTAGGTTCAGCAATGTTATGTGCCCAAAAAATGAGGTCAGCGTCCAACCTGAATATACTGAATGATCAGGTTTTCCATCGATGGATTTTTTTCTTCCCTGGTAGCACATTGGACATATTCCAAGATGACAATGCCAGGATTGTGGAAGAGTGGTTCAGGCAGCATCAGACATTATGTCACAGATGGATTGGCCACCACAGAGTCCAGACCTTAACCCCATTGAGTATCTTTGGGATGTGCTGGAGAAGACTTTACGCAGTGGTCCAACTCTCCCATCATCACTACAAGATCTTGGTGAAAAAATTAATGCAACTCTGGATGGAAATAAATGTTGTGACATTGTATAAACTTATCAAAACGATGCCACGGTGAATGTGTGCCATAACCAAAGCTAAAGGCGGTCCAACAAAATATTAGAGTGTGCGACTTCTTTTTTTGGCCAGGCATTGTAGCTTTCTGTAAGCAGATTGTAGGTCACTGTAATGTAGATTTGCACACTTGATCAATCAGTGACTTAGAACAGCCTTTCTCAACCAGGGTGCCGTGACACACCGGTGTGCCCTCTGGCCTCCTCAGGGGTGCCTCAAATTGTTTTGGTAGTGGGACTGTGGTGCAAAGGAAGCTTCTGATGTAAAGGGGCAACTCAACTATGATAGAAAAAGGGGGCTACTGATGCAATGGTTGACTCTGATGTAAAGGGGGAAGGATCTTGATTTCAAGGGGCACTTCGATGTGACATTTAAGACTGGGTTGCCTTAAGATTTTGCATACTTTTTAAAGGTGCTGTGACTAAAATAAAAAAGTTGAGAAACGCTGACTTAGAACATACTGAAGCCTTTGGATCAGCATGCCAGGCATGGAATTGGCATTCCCAGAAGAAGACTCAGCAGCCATTGCAGGTTTCTTAAACGGTTAATTTTTCGGTCCAAAAAGTTACAGCTGGGGGTCACGCTTTAATGTTGGACCGGTATTTCCCTTTAACATCATAGTATATTTGACATAATACAAAAAAGAGCGGCATAAATCATCACTACAGATCCTGGCCACTTCCGATGACAATCACGATAAGAGGATACAACACGCAGTTATTTTAAAAATGTCCAAGCTTTTTGTCTGCTTTAATTTTGTGGTCGTCTACACGAGGCGATGACTAACCGCAAGACCTGGGCGGTAAGGTACTTGTTGGAGCGTCTGTAAACAGCTGACATATTCGCTGCTGATGGATTGCGCCGGTGAATCATTGACGTAACATTCCGCAGTGCGCTTCCATGTAGAAGTGTGGAAAGGCTCGCAATATATACATGTTGGATGCTGCAAAGTTTGAGTGATCGGTAGAAAGAGTTTGGACTTGTACTCCGAAAACCTGGCTGACCTCTGCAGTGTAGCTGTCGGAGCTGAATATTTGAGTGGCAGCTGCTGATACTTCTGAAGAGCTGCTCTCCAGGTATGGCGTGACTCTGTATTCCTAGGGGTCAGGGTCGTCTCTCCAGAGCTCTGTCTGATTTATCATCACTGTACACCATCTGCATCTCTGTATCCAAGATCTTCTAAAATCATTTTTGTTCACGGTTGGATTCATCCGATTAGAAGAAAGGTAACCAATGGGGCTGATTTAAAGCCCAACTCCTTTTTAATATTTAAAGAATCATGTAATCTGTAAGTCTTTTTCTAAATGCCACTAAGCTGATGGCAAAAAGTACATCCTGCGTGAATGGCATAGCAGAGGGACGGGGCGAAGACACAATATCAGAACTGGCTTTTATCATAGACATGGCCCCAAGTACATCTCCCTATACTTTACAGCACAAAGCAGTGTGGTTTACAACAATATTTTAGTTTAAAAAAATCACTTCTGATTAAAGCTGAACTCTGGGAATTGGGGGACACCAATTGCTATGAACTGCAGACCCCCAGTGCTGCAAGAGTTTAAATGCTTTTTAAGTCTAGCGGTTGAGTAATAAGGTGTAATGCTCATCCTATTTATCACTCTGGTAGGCTACCTGTGCACCTCTGTGATGCTCCGAGTTGTGGTTGGGACCTTGCCGTCCTCCCGTACAATGCAGGGTTATTGGCCTTGCATTGTATGTGATGTTATCAGAGCACCTTAGAGAAGAGACTTCCGATGACTGGTCACATAGCGTGGAGGGAGTCTATCCCTGATCCCCCTTCACTTTGGCTGTGCAATGTCGCTCGGCATCCTTGCGTCTAATGCAGGTCAATAGACATGATGATGTCAATGGTCCTTAGACCACTGAAACCCAAGGGAGAAGGGGCTGTGGGGACCAGTCTAGCAGCTTCAAGTGATCTGACAGGATCGAGGACCAGGCAAAAAAAATCTGCTTTAATCGAGTCCTCTAGGCAAGATGAGCGCTCAGCCGATGCAGATTTTTCTGGCATTCCTCTCCAGCCGGACGGAGGGTATCCATTTTTACACGTCCTTTCCCGCTGGGGGGGAAATGTGAACAATGTCTACGGCCGTCACTGGCTGTTACATACAAGTATTTGGGCTTCTAATGAGCGTCCCAATCGCTTGTATGGTGCGAGAAGTATGCGCCCCTCTGCCGGCTATTCTGGGCTCCACTGTGCTCCATGCAGGTCTGGTGGTTCTCTGCAGCAGTGAGATCAGAGGGAGATCAGCACACTTCCACCTGCTGATTTCCCCTCTGATCACTTCCACTTTCAGCCTTTCATTTCTCTGGCTGTTGTAGCCATCTCTGCTTCATCAGCTTCTTTGGGGTCCCTGGGTGACATTATGGGTCTAACAGACCCCCGATGTCTCCATAAAGGGGACCTGTCACTGTGTTTGTGCTATCACATAGGTGCTTTATTAGCTTCCCTCAACTAAATAATATTTACTCAAACTTTGTTGCAATAATGAATCCAGATCAAACAATACTATACATGTTTCCCAGCAGTTGGCTCCATCTCTCTCAGCTCGGTTTCCCTGAACTACTGTCCATTACAAGATCACAAGAGAACAGCTCAATCTCCATGAGCCGTCCTTCATCAGAAGTCCTTTCTACTGACTCAGTATATTGGCGCCTAGAGGGTTAAAGTGACAGCAAGGCAAATAGCACTTTTATAATAAGAGTTCGGCATTAAAGGCATAGTCCACCTTTAAGAAAAAGAACAAAAAACAATTCACACATATTCAGAAAAAATATGTGCATTTAGTAGTTTTCTGTATTGGCGCTAGTAAAACATTGCAACCACTATCAGCATATTGCAAAGCTCTGGCTATCCATGTCTGTACCTAGGTATGGACATTCAGTAACAAAAGGGGCGGAAAGATGAATGGACTACAAGAGTGGTGGCATTGGTCTATTCCATTGAGAATTAGTCCTTTAATTAATCCTTCTGCTCTTTTGGCTCATGGGAGTTGTAGTTTCTCCATTCCCCAATCCTGTCAAAGGATCTGTGAATGGATGACACAGCCAAATTTAAAAAAGAGCAGCAGGGAGAAGAGCCCCGTGATTCAGGTAAGTGGAGGGAGGTGGCGATGACCGTTTTTCATGCTATTCCCCGAATATGGGTGTAACATGAAAAATGGTCTAAAAGTTAAACATATCCTTTAGCATCCTCCATGTTGCTCTCAGGACAGGTTTCCTTTAAACCCTATCCATCTCTCCACTGCAGCAGGTGATGCGCGCTCTCACACTGTCAACATAATAGGCATTTAGTAGGTGCCCATCTTCCATAGATACTCATCTCTCGCTGTATGTGGTCTGCGGCTGGGTGTTCTCTGCAGATACGCATCGCTGCATTGGGTGATCATAGGCCAATCCGTAACCGATCTGTACAACGAAGGGTTAAACTCGGAGTCCTCCCCAGTCTCCTTACTGGTATCATAAGAATGGAGATCACTATCAGGCAGATCTATGCAGCTTGTCTCCGGGTCATACACAGCACACTTCATCATCTTTGATGCTTTTTATGTATTGTACACCTCTCCCTGGTAATGTGATTTAAAGGGGGACTCCCCATAGATTCTAAAATTCAGTAATCCGCAAATAAATTAAAGAGCTGTCCACATTTTTTGTTTGTTTCATTGGAAGAAGCAAAAATGTTGCAGACGATTTCTGGGCTGCATCAGGAGATGAAGCAGTCTCATCCTATGTCCATCTCTTGTCTCTCTCTCTCTCTCTCTCTCTCTCTCTCTCTCTCTCTCTCTCTCTCT